GAGAATAACATCACTCTTTTGGACCATCATGCATGTTCCCCGGATCTAAACCCAACTGAGAACATTTGGGGATGGATGGCAAGATACGTAAGTATACAAAAATGGACATCAGTTGCAGACAGTGGATGCCCTTCGTGAAGCAATCTTCAACACTTGGAGCAACGTTCCCACTAGCCTCCTGGAAACACTGGCATCAAGCCTAAACCATTGTTTGAAGTCATCAACAAGAATGGTGGAGCTACTCATTACTGAGTCCTTTTTTTGACACTTTGATTTCTGTTTTGGGGGATTTTCAGGTTTTTTTTTTGAGCTATGGTCTTAAACTTTTGATCAGCTGAAAAAAAAAATCATGTTTGAGTGTAAATGCAGTTTTCAGACAATTCCCTGCTCAAAGTTCTTGTCTCTTGCACTGATTTCTTCTTTTAACATTGTGAAGCTCTACTTAGAACCTTCTTAAGATCCAATAGTGCAAAATGCAAATTCTTGCAATTTTTTGACTGGTCTTAAGATTTTGATCAGGAGTGTATGTCTGTGTGTATATACTGACAATATTTATGAATGTATGCATGTATGTATGTATATCTTTATATATGTATGGGTATGTGTATATATATTTATACAGTATATCCCCTCCATGTATTTATCCATTTATTTTTCAGGTGAGMGGACAGATGTTGGGTGTGTGGTCCTGTGTTTTGTTGGTGTATATTTAATATACTTCTAATCGCTATTTCAATCTTTCTAATTACTTCTCTCTGTTTTTCTCTCTCTCTCTCTCTCTGTTTTCTCTTTACTTAAAAAAAGAAGTCATTGATGATGAAGAAATAAATAAACTAATAATATTTGGTTTCATTTTCTACTGAAGTGACAAAAAACACAGATGGTGCATTTAAGTTATTTTAGGGAGCTACAGTTAAACTCTCACAGTTCTTGACGAGTCTGTCGCGGGTCTGTCGCTGCCTCGCTCTGAGGTATTGAAGCGGGGGAAGCCCCCCTCCTTCTCCTCTCACTCTCTCTGCCTCCATGCATCTTCTGAACCGAGTCAGGTTTATACAGAACAGGTTTTCATTTGAAACAGTCCGAATCAAACAAATCGCTAGAATTTATTGTAGGCGGGAATTTATTGCATTAAAAAAATTACGGACAGACAGAAAAAAAAGCGGCTTCCAAAGCTGTCGCACCACTGCTACAAAGTCTTTTTCATTTATAGCACAGACAGTATTTTTCATAGCATGTGTGACATATATGTCGCACTGTACAGCCCTGTGAGAGACCACCTGACTGTAAGAGACCACCTGACATGTTAGGGACCACCTGACCTGTTAGAGACCACCTGACATGTTAGAGGCCACCTGACCCTCCAACTCAGGTCTTGCAGAGACACTTGGATGTCTCAGCAGAAAATACAGTAAAAGATTTAAGTGAATGATAATGCCTGCTTTCAGCAGAAAGGCTCACATGGTTCAGATCCTCTCAGACCTACAGAGCCTGGTTCTTTAGACTGCTGTGGTCCATCAGAACCACAGAACTGGTCCAGCAGCATCAGCAGAACAAAATTTAGTTTGAACCTTTGCCATTTGAATGTTTTTCATCAGAAACTAGGTTTTTATCAGCCTGAAGGAAGGTTTCCTGTAAAAACCACAGCTTTAAACACATCGAGGTGTTGCTTCCTGTTTAACTTTCTGATAATTTAAAAAAGTTGAAGTTCCTCTTAATGAGTTCTTTGTAAAAAATAACATTTAGTCTCTCCTTCAAGAGACTTCTTCAGTCTGAGGAGTTTCAGGTTAACTCAGCCAAATAAGCCATGTTGGACAAACAGGTTTAATGACGACAATCAACACTGTTCACACGTAAAGGAGGACCATCAACCTAATAATGGTAAATGGACTGAACTTATATAGTGCTTTATCAAGTCCATCTGGACCCCAAAGCAATTTAAACTTACAGATATTCACACACTGATGATGGTAAGCTACAATGTAGCCACAGCTGCCCTGGGGCACACTGACAGAGATGGTGTTGCCATGCACCGGTCCCACTGAATCCTCTGATCACCATCAGTAGGCAAGGCGGGTGAAGTGTCTTGCCCAAGGACACAACTGAGACAGCTGGAATGGGGGATTGAACCGGCGATCTTCCGGTTCCAGGATGACTCCCCTTAGCACTCTGTCGTCCCTATTTGATCATTAGTGCCCTGATTATCCCTATTGCTCACAGAGGACCCTCAGCCTAACAAAAGATCATAAGTGCCCTCATATCCCTATTGGTCACAGAGGACCCTCAGCGTAACAAAAGATTGTTAGTGCCCTGATTATCCTTTTGTTCACAGAGGACCCTCACCCTAACAATAGATCATTAGTGACCTCATTATCCCTCTTGTTCACAGAGGACCCTCAGCTTAACAACAGCTTGTTAGGACCTGATTATCCATATTGTTCACAGAGGACCATCAGCCCAACAATAGATTGTTGTGATTATCTCAATTTTTGACAGAGGACTATCAACCTAACAAAAGATCATAAGTGTCCTGATTTTCCCAATTTTTTATGGAGGACTATCAGCCTAACAATAGATCATTAGTGTCCTGACTATTATCACTATTGCTCAAAGAGGACCCTCAGCCTAACAATATATAGTTACTGCCCTGATTATCCCTATTGTTCACAGAGGACCCTCAGCGTAACAAAAGATTGTTAGTACCCTGATATCCCTATTGTTCACAAAGGACCCTCAGCCTAACAATAGATAATTCGTACTCTGATACCCACCCTCAGTCTAACAATAGATCATTAGTGCCATGATTATCCCTATTTTTGACAGAGGACTATCAGCCTAACAATAGGTCATTAGTGCTGTGATTATCCCTATTGCTCACAGACGACCCTCGACCTAACAACAGATCATTAGTGTGCTATGATTATCCCTATTTTTGACAGAGGACTATCAGCCTAAAAATGGGCCATTAGTGCCCTGATTATCCGTATTGTTCACAGGGGACCCTCAACTTAACAACAGATTGTTAGGACCCGATTATCCCAATTGTTCACATCCTAACTATAGATCGTTTGTCCCCTGATTTTCCCAATTTTTGATGGAGTACTATCAGCCTAACAATAGATCATTCGTGCCCTGATTATTAACACTATTGCTCAGAGGACCCTCAGCCTAGCAATAGTTAGTGCCCTGATTATCCCTATTGTTCACAGAGGACCCTCTGTCTAACAATAGATCATTAGTGCCATGATTATCCCCGTTGTTCACAGAATACCCTCAGCCTAGCAAAATATTTTTAGTGCTGATTATCATGATTTGCCTCTGATTGTATAGCACCTTCTGAATCTGTTTCTAAGAGAAAAGAAAAAAAGAAAAGAAAAATTAGAAAGCAAAAAATAAATAAATAAATAAAAAATAAAAAATTAATGAATAAATAAATAAACTGAAGTGGATCCATCATGCTTTTAAATCATTCTTTTCACATCTAAGTTGGAGCCTATTTAGGGTATAACTATTCAAAGAAACAATAAAAAATACATGTACCCTGTCACCGAGGTGACATATACTGTATGTTTATCAAATAAAGTCTAATGTTGCAACTAATCGGGGATCTCTTTAATTCTAGACATAGATCTCTTAATTGCAGGGATATTTTTTTAAAGAAACTAGTAATATGATATAGTGAATCATAAAATTTTGCTTTCTAAATTTTATAAATATGGTTTTAAAGGTACTGTACACAAATGGCTTGGTAATTATCTGTTATGCAGAAAACAATACGTTTTATTAAGGAGCATGCATCTAGGCTGAACGTGATAAAATATGGAGTTCCACAAGGTTCAATACTGGGAACATTATTGTTTATTATTTATATAAATAATTTTGCTTCTGTATCTAATTCCACTTCTACATTGCTTTTTGCATATGATACCAATCTTTTTTATCTCAAACAAAAACATTATTTCTCTAAAAAAATAGATTAAATGTTGATCTTCACAAGTACTCTAAATGGTTTAAAGCAAACAAATTGTCATTGAATGTTAAGAAGTCTAGTTTTATTGTATTTGCTGGAAATAAAACACAATAGCGATCAAATTAAAATTTAAATAAATGATGAAGAAATAATTCAAGTTTCATCAGCAAGTTTTTTAGGGGTCTTGATCGAAGAGAAACTTTGTTGGAAAGACCACATTGGACACGTCTGCAAAAAAAATTGCCAAATCTATTGGAATCTTAGGCAAGATTAGACATTTTGTTTATAAATCTTGTTTTCTAATCTTAGGTTACAGTTTAATTTATCCTTATCTCACCTATTATAATATTGTATGGGGAGCTACATTTCCAACTCATCTAAACAAAATATTTATTCTAGAGAAAAAAGTTTCTAAGAATAGTTAACTTCTCAAAATTTGATTCCCTAAGCGCACCTTTATTCTATACATTAAAACTGTTGAATATTTTTGATAAACATTTCTTACTTGTACATTTGTGTTCAGAGCTCTGTATGATATAAAGTTCCCTTCCTATATTAAAATCTATTTTCACATGAACTCATAAATACATAATTATCCTACTAGGCAAACTCTTAATTTGCATCTTCTATTATACAAATCATTGCGTGACCAATTCTCAATCAGATTTTATGGAGCTAAAATGTGGAATTCAAATGTTCAACTTGTGGAAGCTTCAATATTTTTGTGTGTATAAAAACAGATTAAAAACCAAGCTTTTGATTTTGAAATGTGAAATTTGAGTGATTTTAAATTCATATAGATTTTTCTTATTTTTGTATGTGCTTTGATGGACTTTAATTCAAATTTTGATGTTGATTTTTGTATTGATATTGTTTCTTTTTCATTATTTTTATTTGAGTGGCTATTTTCAGTTTTATTTTAAGTTTTTTTTCTGTTGTGTATGTAGTCTGATTTGATTGGGAGTGGTTTTTACATAAGCCTATTCAGGCTTTTACCCTTCTCTTGCACATGAAATATTTCATTTTGAATTGTTGTTGTGTTCTTTTTGTTTTACTTTTTTGTGTGTTAAATCAAATCAAAAATCAAATATGAATGATAAATGTGTTCTAACGTTGTAAAGAAATGTTTTTGAGTTAGAAAGAAAATTATGTTGATTTTTTAAAGCTAATCAGATGCCAAAATAACCTTTGACAGAAAGTTTGATCACAAGGCTGAAGTTCAGATTTGTGCCTTGTTTAAATATGACCCAAGTTGTTAGGTTTAGTCAAGTTAGACTGACTTTGCAAATGTT